GTTTGTAGCAGAGTCGCTTGTGTCTTGGTTGAACACTAAACACATTGACATGGGAGGTTAAGGCATATCCTGCTTCACTTAGTTTTGAACTAAATAAGATTTCCTCAGACAACATGCACTGTCAACTAACTGAGGGAGTACTAGTATGTAATATCCAATATTCACTCAGATGTACCATGAGTAAGAGTCATTCTTTAAATTGTTACACAGCAAACAAATGAAGAATCTGTTGTACATTGCTTTACATCATATAGACATGTTATACACTCAGCATGAGATTTAGTAGCTTCATATCTTTTAAGATGTTGCAAACTTCACCACAAATTAATCTACGAAAGTGCTCGGTTTTTGGAATACCTGACGTGGGTATCATGCAAATACCATAACTGTTACATTCATTATTTTTCACATAACACTTCACAAAATAGAGATGACAATACATAAAACATTCACAAAATACAGACACATTTACATATAAGAACAGTTTAGTGATGCAGTGATAGGGAAGGGGATACACCTTAACTGATTAACCCATGTTTGCATATTATACACCAGCCACACAATACAGAATGCTTATTATTATTCAACCCTGCCTTCATTACCTTCATAGCACGCACAACAGCCTCAGGTTTTGTTGGCAGATTTCTAGGTGAAATAGCACTGTCACAAATGTTTGGTCTTTGGGAAGACTACAATGAAACAGATATATTCCATATAATGTGTGTGTCTTCATAAATGATCACTATTTAGCACTAATGCAATACTACTACTAGCTTGGGAGGTATATTTCACCCAATGGTTAGCTACGCTGACCAACATGCTACACACTCAACACACAAGACTTCACCACATTTCACCAACAACAAGTGTATTACGCTCATGCACATTTATTAACTAACAGGATAACCCAGATTAAAGCTTATACATGCACAAATATATTCAGATTATACATTATGCCTGCAGTGAAAATAATGATTCTCTTTCAGTGTGTATTGAGTGATATGTATGTAACATTATTTTTAGTTTTGCATTGATATTTCTTACATGTTATATCTCACCAGGCAAACTCTGATCTATAGATGCAGCCTTGTCGCTGTGTCAGCTATTTGCTTATACAAGGATATGTATTTACTAAAAAGAATGACAACTTACTGCTGATGATAAATCCCTATAGTTTGTAGCACTGTAAGATTTGGGAAGACATCTTCCATTCATTCTTTCAGCATCCCCATAGCCATTCCTCTCAGCAAACTGTGTCCAACAAAACAGTCAGTTGACGATGCAAGTGATTAGTTACAGTACATCATCAGATCACAAAATGTTGTGCAATTAAATTGCTTTGTACATGTCTTAAATACAACTGGACAGTTGGCTGCCATGTACATGAAAAAATACAACTGGACAGTTGGCTGCCATGTACATGTCTTAAATACAACTGGACAGTTGGCTGCCATGTACATGTCTTAAATACAACTGGACAGTTGGCTGCCATGTACATGTCTTAAATACAATTGGACAGTTGGCTGCCATGTACATGTCTTAAATACAACTGGACAGTTGGCTGCCATGTACATGTCTTAAATACAACTGGACAGTTGGCTGCCATGTACATGTCTTAAATACAACTGGACAGTTGGCTGCCATGTACATGTCTTAAATACAACTGGACAGTTGGCTGCCATGTACATGTCTTAAATACAACTGGACAGTTGGCTGCCATGTACATGTCTTAAATACAACTGGACAGTTGGCTGCCATGTACATGTCTTAAATACAACTGGACAGTTGGCTGCCATGTACATGTCTTAAATACAACTGGACAGTTGGCTGCCATGTACATGTCTTAAATACAACTGGACAGTTGGCTGCCATGTACATGTCTTAAATACAACTGGACAGTTGGCTGCC